CCCCTCAAACACTCTTTTACACGGCAGTGTCATCGCTGTCAACTCTACGGGCACGCAGCCCGAAACTGCTTTGCGAGGGCGCGGTGCGTCAAGTGTTTAGGCGACCATGGCACCTCGGACTGTAAGCGGACACTCCCGTGCGCTGAGCCGCCGGCATGTGTGCTTTGCGGGCAACATGGGCACCCTGCGAATTATCGCGGTTGCCCTAGAGCCCCCAAGGCGCAAAAGCCGTCGGCTAAGCGCATGGTGGGACGCGATGCGGCCCGTCGTGGCATGGGAGCAAAGCCCACATACATACCGGCCCCGCCTCCCGAATTTAGTCCCTGGGCCAAGCCCCCCGCTACGGAGGGCCCTCCCCAACTCACGACAGAAGCCTTCCCGCCTCTGCCATCTAAATCGGCAACCGCAGCGCCTTCCCAGGTCCCTGCGCCAACCTCCATCCTAAAAGAGAGGCCCACATTAAATGCGAGCCCTCCCACTAAAGCCCTCAGCCCTCCCGTGAAGGCATCTGAGGAATCAGGCAACGTCCGCGACGCTTTTAATCTTGCGTTTAGCGTAATAGGCGCTATAGACTTAGACGCACTCGTCGCATTCGCGGAAGCATTTAAGTTCGCTAAAAGCGCGTCCACCAAGGTGGAGGTAATAACCGAGCACGCCCTGCTCCTTAAATCCGTGCGGCAATTCGTAGATTCCAACACACCGCAATAGCTACGACCACGTCTAGGGTCAAGGCTCGATCACTGTCCGTAGTGACTTTCAACGCAAACGGTTTCAAGCCACAGTCAGATTTAATTCGGGATTTCCTCGTTCGTCACCCAATTGATATTTTCCTAGTACAGGAAACGTTCCTAAAGCCCAGCGTTCGCGCACCTAGATTCGCGAACTACGTCGCGGTGCGAAACGACCGACCTACGGCGAAAGGCGGTACGCTCATTTATTATAGACGTGCGCTCCACTGCTCACCGCTAGACCCGCCCTCCCTAACCAACATAGAGTGCTCTGTGTTACGCGTGGCTATGACCGGTCATCAGCCGATTATCATCGCATCGGTGTACCTCCCTCCCACTAAGGACATATTAGAGAGCGATCTTAGGACCCTGTTTGCACTGGGCCCCTCGGTCTTACTGGCCGGGGACCTGAATAGCAAGCACGGGGACTGGAATAGCTCAAAGCAAAACCCTAATGGGCGAGCCCTCAGTAGGCTTATTGACGTACTCAATTTTAATGTCATTGCCCCCATTCAACCGACTCGTCGCGGTATAAGTTGTAACGGTCTTCTCTCAACGGACGTCCTAGATGTGGCGATTCTACGCAACGTGGCACTGCAGCCGCGAAGCATAGAGGTGCTACACGAATTAGACTCTGACCACTTCCCGGTTCATTTTGAATTCGGCCCTCCTAACACCCAAGAGAAGAGGTACAAGTCCATTGTCGACTGGCAGAAACTAGACGAGGCCCTCAAGCCCGTCGAAGTCTCTGACCTTAATAACATCCCCGACAATTTAGTCTCGTCCGCTCACGCGTTAGACGCGCTCTCTTCGGTCACTAATTACATTCAGACCAAGGTCGCCGAATCGTCCCGGAAGGTCCCAGATGAGTTCACTCAACGTTGGGAGCTTCCCCCGGACGCAAGGCGCTTACTGACCGAGAAGAACGCGGCGACTCGCGCCTTCGCAAGGGCACCGACCGATGATAACCGTAGAGCACTCCGCGCCGCGCAGCGCCGAGTTAAAGAGCGCATACGGGAAATTAGAAACGAACGCTGGGACCGTCTTACCAGCGAATTGTCACCTTCGCACACGGCCTATTGGTCTCTCGCGCGTTCCCTAAAAACCGACACGGTGGCCTCCATGCCCCCCTAAAACGTCCAAATCAGCCTGACGCATTCGATGACGACGAAAAAGCCGAGTGCTTAGCCGTAAACCTAGTGGAGCAGTGCACGCCTTATCTCGACCATAGCGACCCGGCGCACGTTGAGCACGTGAACCGCGAAGTCAAACGCATAGTCGCACTGCCCCTCCCTCCCGAGCCGCTTCCTCCTACGTCGATCGCCGAGGTCAAAACTCTAATCAAGGGTTCACTGCCTCGTAAATCACCAGGTCTCGACGCCATCTCAAACAAGGTCTCACGATGCCTCCCGCCCCATCTGATATGCTTACTAGTGGCCATATTCAATTGCCTTCTCGAAAACTGCACCTTCCCGGCGCAGTGGAAAGAGGCCATTGTAATTGGTATTCACAAACCAGGCAAGCCCCGTAACAATCCCACCAGTTACCGCCCTATCAGCCTTCTAAACACGCTAAGCAAGCTATTCGAGAAGGTAGTTAAAAAGCGCCTCCTAGACTTTGCCCTAGAAAAGGGGCTCATTCCCGATGAGCAGTTTGGCTTTAGACCAGGCCACTCGTGCGTCCACCAAGTCCATCGAATCACGGAGCACATCCTTTCTGGGCTGAACAACAGCACCACGAGACCGAGAGCCACGGGTGCGCTCTTCTTAGACATAGCGAAGGCTTTCGACAAGGTCTGGCACAACGGCTTGGTTTACAAGCTCTACCACCTTCACGTGCCATTAAGACTCGTGCGTTTAGTACACGACTTCTTGTCCGACCGCTCTATGCGCTATCGTGTTGAAGGGACGTTATCGTCCCCTAGACCCATCATGGCCGGAGTCTCTCAAGGCTCGGTCCTCTCGCCCCTTCTTTTCACGCTGTTTACAGGCGACATTCCTAGGGCTCCTAACGTGGAACTAGCCCTCTATGCCGATGACACCGCTCTCTATACCACTCACAAAGACAGAGGTGTCATCGTGGACAGACTCCAGACCGCTACCACGTCGCTAGGCGAATGGTTTCGGAAATGGGGCTTCCAAATAAATCCCGAGAAAAGCGTCGCAGTTCTCTTTGCCAGGGGTAACCTCGGTGCTTCGCTTGCTCGGGAAAAATTCCGCCTCAAAAAAGAGGTAATCCTATACGGGCAAGCCATCCCGTGGCAAAAATCCGTCAAATATCTAGGAGTAACGCTCGATAGGGACATGTCTTTCAGAAAGCATGTAGCCGCCGTTCGCAAGAAGGCCTCTTTCGTCCTCTCTCGCCTCTATTTCCTCCTAAACAAAAGGAGTAACATGTCCCTTAGACACAAGGTGACATTGTACAAGGCCTGCATCCGACCGTGCATGACTTACGCTAGCGTAGTATTTGCGCATTGTGCCCCCTCCCTTATCCACCGGCTACAGGCGCTTCAGATGCGATTCATGAGAGTTGCGACCGGGGCGCCCCTCTATGTGAGAAACGTCGATCTCCACCACGACCTGGAGCTCCCTACCATAGCCCAATGGATGAAGTTGGCGTCCGCACGCCACTTCGACAAGGCTAAACACCATCCCAACCCTTTGGTGCGTAAAAGCATCAACTATTATCCCTTCCCGCCGACAAAAAAGTGTCATAGGAGGCCCCGACACACACTAACGGATCCGGATGATCCAATTACCGTAGCAAACAATAAATTAAAAGCCGCCCGCGCGGCCAATAATAACAATCAAAGTATTCAGACACAGATTAGGGTTAAAAACCGCCTTCACCGGGGAAGGCGAGGACCTTTACTTCGCACTTCGCTCACTCCAGTGAGTTTCCGTCCTGCCCTTCAGGCGATTGACCACCCCGTGACGGCCCAAGCCGAGGTTCGAGTCTCACAGGAGACGCCCTTGCGCTAGTCGCGGGAAAAACGCTCATTCTGGTCGAGCTACGCTCGCCAAAACAGCCCGAGCTGAGCTGTCAAGGCCCTAAAGGCCAACAGCGAGATCCCTTTCAAAAAAAAAAAAAGCGTACGAACGTGTTCTTCTCAGAACACTTCGATATCGTAACCTTGCGATAACGCTAATAACTGTCCTTTTCAGGACAAATTATCGTATCACGACTAAACGTCTAACAACTGTCCTTTTCAGGACATATTATTCTTGTTTCTCGACGAAAACGTTTGACAACTGTCCTTGTCAGGGCATATTACCGTGTCTTACGACACGATGAAACTGTTCTTTTCAGAACACACGACCGTATCTATTCTGATGTGTTCTTGTCAGAGCACATCACTGTTTCATTACGACACGTTAATCAATCACCTACAAGACTATAAATTTAAGCTATCAGGTGATTGATTCATGGAAAAATAAAAAAATAAAATGTGAAAACTGTACGAAGTTCCCCTATTTAGTTACACGATAAAACTACTTGTGAGTTGTGACATTGTAAAAGTTTTACCGACATTTATATCTTAAACGACGATGGCCGGAATAATAATTTATTTCGTGTCGTTAAATCATACGAGCTGACATTTATTGCATCATTCGTTGCATTCGCGGTCATTTGTAAATAATTATTAATGAAAAATATTTTATTCGTACCAAAATATCTCTGATAAATGAATTAACTACAAATGAAAACTTTAGACCCCGCGCAAACGACGCAAGTGGAACTGGATAGGTCATACACTCCAAAGATATTCCAATGGAGTGTATTCCAACCCCCAGGCAAGCGCTTGATTGGAAACCCACAGGGAAAACTGAAGCGAGACTGTCCTAAGATTAATATTTGATGACTGCACATGAGTAGTAGGTACCTATTGAAAGTATACTCGTTAGAACCGCACCTGTTTCATTTAATACATCTCCTTATATAATATATTAGATTCGTCAACTACGATACTTCATCGTATAATAGACAAACAAGATTGAATTAAAATACTTTATTCACACGATCGATAATTAATTCATTGAACTTTGATACACTGTTAATGTAACCTAAATAATTGCTCGTTTAGTTTTAAAATAGAGGCCACTCAATGCGCTATACTATAAAAATACTTTAATTGATTGACATTTTAAGTTCAGTTTTGTTTAGGGACTAGTAATTAAGTTTTTACAAAGCTTTCGTGATACATAAATTACATTTAGCCAAATATTCATGGACACTGAACGTGTCAACTTTATATAATTGCTGCTATGTAAATTATATTGCTGTTTCATTTCTGTGTTTGAGCAGATGCACCTCGTGGTATGGAGGCGGCAACTCATCACACGCCTCCAGCTCAAAGTCTATATCACTTTCTGAAATCACATAATTCCGAATATTAATAATTTTATCTATTTCCGGATCATACATTTTTACAAAGAGGACTCAAAACCTTTCGACACATCCAATATTCACTATCACACGTTACGTTACTTATTTCTTTTTATTAGATTTTTAACAAAAAAGACAAATTAACTGTTAAGAAATATATAATATGTCACACCTTTTCACTCTTACAATGAAGTGGAAGTACTTTATCTGATGAAATAATATAGTAATACGCTACGACAACATACCCTACGCTACGCGTAAAGCTACGTCTTAAGCTGAAGTCTACGCGGGCTACGATTCAAACGGCGTATTTTATTTATTTGTATTTTATATAATAAATAATGTAATAATTTATTGTACGTTGTAGAAGGGCGTAGAATCTCCACATCAAACTTGTATGGAAATCATTTCTTCATACCAAAATGTAGCGGGAGCGAAGAACTTATTTTTCTGTCCCTATCAGATCCAGGTATAAATGGGAAAAAACTGTAAACTATAAAGGGAATTGTTGATATGCGGAACCTTTGGTAACACTGGGTGAGGCTTGACGTCGGTTTAAGTAAGTAATAAAAATGCTAAAAATGGTAACATAGTTCTAAGTAAAATTTGTTACTAATTCCTAGCAGTGTGTGAGATGCAACAGACCTCTTACACCTTACCAGTGCCTCTTACACATTATTATACAATTTGTGAAATGAACGTGAAATTCTTTTAAAACTCTTAAAAAAAATTTGCGTCAGAGAACTTAGATATATAAGTTTATTGTACTTCATATTAAAGCTGCGTTATTATGTCAATAGACTGAAATAATGATAATTAGTTTGACACGAAATTTTAAAGAATTCTATTCATTTGAATTTTCAATATTATATATACTATTGGCTTAGTTACTATATTGTAGGGCTTTCTTCCTTTTGTACATTTAAGGCTGCTTACTGTTGTGCTTTCTAAATTGTGAAATCTATCATACCATATTCAGGGTAAAAAAAAAGATTTATTGTATTCTAAGCAATAAAATACTCATAGTTGAAAATAGCTCGAGGTTAATGTAAGGCACTTAAAGTTTTTGTTGTATGACCTGAGAGTGCTCCTGACTGCGGGCGGTGTGTGGGTGCTAACACATCACCGGCACTAGCATGGCGGCCACGCATGAAGCCTTCAGCGGGAGGTGACCAAGCCAGTCCCGAGCTCGGCGCGGCACCCCATGCTTCCTCCTCCAGGTACAACGTGTCAGATGCGTAGCCTAACGGTTCTGTATAAATTAAATTATTTATGACGAGTGATTTAAATTCAGTTCAATTTACCGGCTTATGCATGGAAACTGTATCAACATCATGCGAATTGGTAAAGTACTCACCGACAGATGGCGGTGGTATTAATCGAGCGTTGAAAAGTTCAGCTCCCCAATTTGCCCCGTGGTGCTGCGCCCCTGACCTATCTAGAGCCGCGCTTTCAGGAGTCGCGACCTCAAATCTAGACACGACTAACTCTTCTACTGGTACCAATCTCATTCTATCTTTACTTTTAATGCATTCATTTAAACTTTGCTTAGTTTCTTTATGCTTATACAGTTTAGTATCATTATCCGCTGGCCCGACTGCCTCATGGTTATCTTCTTTGATATTCATTTTATCTAGCCTTTCTGGCCTCTTTGAAACACTGGGCCCGGCACCATTGTCGCCAATATAGAAGCAAGATGTTTCAGTCGCATCATCATCCTTGATATCGTCGTCGGTTTCCTTTTTTTTTGAGCATTTAATATTAGTAAAATGTTTCTTGCAAGTTTTTGAGACTCGTTGATCTGTTTCTTCACATTGCTCAAGGCTATCCAGAGACATGTATGAACCAGTAGGAGAGCTGGGGGATAAGGTCACTTTCTCTGGTCTGAGAGGAATGTAAAGTTCCTTGGTAGAGCGCTCCCAGTCTCTGCGGTGCAATACTTCGTGAATGACGCTGGGGGCAGAGTGGTAACGGCTGTCTTCTTCGCTTATATTTAACTGCGAGCGGTGACGGCCGTGGATTTCTTCATGACTCCTATGAGCTGATAGCGACTGCTTTGTGGTTCCTGAAATATTCATTAAAACGAATTCTTCCAACACGGTACATAGTAGAAGATCAATTATACTTGGCATTTTTTTTTTATTCTTGAAAAAGTCCCCCTTCTGATCAAAGGTAGGATTCATTATATTATATACCAAAAAAAAATATTCTCACCAGAAGTGCTAGGTAAATGTAAAGAGATCGCGCTGCTACCGCACCTCCGACTGAACAGTTCGCTCAATCGGTGAGAGCCTGATGATCCTGGAATTTTCAAATATTACGAATATTGTTATAGTATAATGTGGCCAGGTGAAATTAATTAATAATCAGCATGTTACGATGTAACCACCAAACTGCGTGGTCACTCCATTATAGTTAATCCAAACATTAGGAATTAAATGACTTAAAACATATTAATACACTAGTTTTATGAAATGGTTGGCCAGTGATTTCTTACCATTGGTAATGGCTGGTTTCGCGGGGTATTTGCCAGAACTTGTATCTGAATAAAAATAGATATTCTGTAGTAAAATTATAAAACTTATTTACAAAGCGAAGGCTACTCTTTTAAGTATTAGAAAGTATTACCTGAGGCATCATCAGGCCAGCAGCAAAGCCAACAGAGAAGTAGTAGTGGGGCGAAAATCTCTGCCGCCAACACCGCGCCCGCACCGCCCAGCCCACCCATTCCGACCGCCTCACACAATTAACTACATTTATAAAGTTAACTTAAGAAAAATGTAGCAGCTTAAAGGATATGGATGACGTTACATTAAAGCTCTTATTTTCTAAATTTGTAAAATATCTCGAAATAACTTTAAAAGAAGAAGAAAACTAACAGTAATTAAAACATAAATAATATAATCAATTGAATTAACTCACCTCTTAATTATTTAAATTGAACATTATTTAGTATCTACGTATATGTCGAGGTAAGAAAATTATTATATTACATATTTAATTCAAATCGGATTGAAAACTTCCAATATATTTGTTACCCACGGTTGCAATAGAACAACTGAACAAGTGAACGCTCAGTGGAAATAGTAAAAGACTTCTTTTCAGGGCAGCGACACACCGAGAGTACCTCGCAGACGTTTGAGGAGTGCTCTAATTTATAAAATATGTTACGTGGACAAAAGACGAAGTAGGCACGATTTCCTATCAAAATGATACACTTAAATTCTTGTATAAGGTTTATCGCGTCGGAGACACTACTAAAGTCAATGGATTAAATTACTTTTGAGTTTGACTGCTGTAAATATTAACACCACCTAATCCCAACTGCAACGTAGCTACAACCCTTTTAATACTGATTGTAATAATGTCTGATGCATCAAGGATCGAAAAAAAATTCTGAAAGTACCAAAGATGTCAGTAAGATACACTCGGTGTGAACGCAGCTCTTTCGGCGCCGGAGTGTCGCGGTCCATCGATCTGTAGCAGCCTCTCCTCGGTTTTCAGTGACCCCCATCTGTCCCATTATATTGCCTTAGTCCCGTAACCTTGGCTCAATTATGTTTCGCTTTCGAAATGTGCCAAAATAGCTCAATTAAAAGAAAGGACGTGTCGCTTACATGAAATGTTTTTTATCAGACGATATCCAGTATATTTAATTATATAAAGCGATTTGGCACATCATCATGAAGACAATCTTTGCATAGTTTACGGTATTACTGTTATTAATTCATGAAATAAACTGTAGTTTTTAACTTATCTTTATTTAATAATACCTCACCAACTACCGACATGATAAGGTTTGCTTACTTTTTAATGTATGTTATATAATATAAGGTACGAGATTCGGCAATAAGATCACTGAGTTTTTCGTAGAGGTTGACAGGTTGGTAACCTAATCAAAGATGGAGCACTATATTTTACTTAAAGTGCTCATCAAAGTAATACCAGGTAGCGAGTATTTTTAATTTAAATATCCAAGAACCATGTACGACATAATATTTAGGTATGAATTAAACTTTTCATATTTTTGTTGTCGTGACAAATGAATAAAATATATTACTAAAGGTCTATTATAAATTCCTGTTTGCATGGATTGCACTTGTACTAACAATTAAATGCATTGAACGAATTATCGTTTAATTATTATCGGTTAAAAACGCTAGACTGGGCGGCGACAAAATACAAAGCCTGCGCGAATGTCTTGTTCATCTCATGCATTAATAGCTTTGATCTTTATGAAACTTCGTCAGAAGTATGTCAATATATAAAGTAATAATAAGAGTGTATACTTTGACGTATAAGGTTTAATGGACCATTTGGGACGATAAGGATACACAAGAATTTAATTGTGAGAAAAGCCACGACATATATATAGATATATATAGATATATGTATATAGATATAATATAGTTATTTTATTTTTATACCACTGTCATATTCATTTATAAAACCGTTTCATTAATTGATGTAGGTTTATAAATCATCGACGTATAATCACTATGCAGCGACGCGAATTTAGTAGTTTCAGCTCGGTACACGGACGGAGGAGCTCCGTTGAGAAACAAAAAAAAAGCGCCGAATTGATAACTTCCTCCTTCGGTTTGGGTATGTATTTCTACCTAGTAGTCAGCTTTTTTAAATAGATTTTTTTAAAGATAGACGTCGCAACTTTGATAATGTTAGAATCCTCATTGGTAAAAGGAAAATTGAAAAGTAATTCATAGAAGTTTGCCAATCTATGAAGTACCAAAATTTTATTTAATTTTTCTTTATCTTTCATGTTCAATAAAATAACAATAATAGGGGCTGCGAGCCTAGACAAAAGTAAGTACGCAAGCGCGATGTTCCCTCGCCTCTCGCCAGTCGCCATAAAGAAGGCACAGAACGAACGCGCATGCTCGTGGTCTGTTTGCTAATAACACCACTGTACCTTGTTTCTCTTCTAAATAATATTAAAAAACACCAGCGATATTAATAATGAAAAGTGGTATTTATGTGTGATATAAAATTGTAATGGTAAGTTTAAAGAATTAAGCCGATCAGATATTGCTTCGGTCAGTGCTAATTGCATACTCACAATAATCTTGTATTTTTTATTATAATATTAAAATTAACGTCAATATAAAGACTCTATGGAAAAACAGAAACCATAACTGATGTACAAGGCAAGGTATTCAGATATAAGAAGCAATTACATTAAAATATATAAGCTAGTATGCTTATGCTACTTTTATAATCAATTAAAACAGTTGTTACATCACTGTATTATACCTAGATAGTAACAGATAGCGATAACTTCTTGTTATTGAATATATTCTATGTAATAATTATAATTCATAGAATATATGCAAAGAGTGACTTATTTGCATAAGCAAATATGTTATTTAGAAAGCCAAGCAAAACTGAAGCCGACGATATGCGTTCTTAAAAATGTACGGTACTGAAATGTAATCAGCTAGACTTTACATTTAATTTCAAATAATAACATTTATAAGTGTGATTATAAATTCGTCAGTAAATTGATTACGTATTTGTAGTGTAAAATAATTTCTGTAACTGTTTCGTTGCTGAAATGTAATCTACCATGTAATTATAAATATTAAGCAATTCCAAGTAAACTGACATAATAAGTCAAGCAACATGAACGCGCTAAATATTATTGCAACACTTGAATTTCTGCATAATTAACGGAATACGTCAAGCGATTATATTACTTACGCCTATGTATTTAAGGGTCTTTTTTCTGTAGGTATGTATATCGAGTTTAAAACAGGCTACAAATACAGTCATCGCATAGAGATTTGTTATAGTCTGCTTTTTAAACTATAGCTTATCAGGCTATTATAATTATCTAAGTCTTTGCTTTTAACTTTATCTTTCTAGCTTTCGTTCACGACGCTCGCCGTTCGAAAAATGAATAAAAGCTATTTTTTAAAACCCAAGGCACTCTTTGCACAGAAGATTAAAAACATTTGGTATACTACAGATGCAGGTGTCACCGCGACCTCTAGACCGCGTACTAGATGGATACCGCATGCAGCAGAGGGCGCTCAGCGTGGAGCAGCTGACGGAACTTGCCGCTCAGCTGCACATCGCTCACCTCGCTGAACTGAGGCGACTTCGGGATTATCGCCGACGTCTGGATGATGTACAGCCGTATCGGCCGCAACACACAGATCATCTGTTGAGGTAACCGTTTACAGATAACAGTATTTGCCAACTTACGCTGCCCTAAGTTTCACGTATTGCGTAAATATTCTAGATATTTAGTACATAAAATATAAATATTTCAGAGTTAACAATCGCCTAGAGGAGGGCGTGGCGCCGGCGCCGTGGCGGCCCGTGGTGTTGCCGCGCAATCTACAGGAACTCTTTGATACTGTGGTCGGTGCCTAATAGATACGCTGGCGACATCAAATTAACATAGTCGTCAGTTTGAGGCTACCGGAAGTACCTACGGCATACCTATGTTAAATTGAGATTTATCCTCTGTATTTGCAACTTCATAGACTTAATTATGTTCACACAATCTCTATATCGGTACCTAAATATAATTATTTCTTTATCAGAAATGTGCCCGTCATGGTTGGCAGAGATTAATTCCTAATGAGAGCACACTTTGCAGCCAAAGACACCCCAGGTGAAGACAGCGGACAGTGCAGGCGTGTGGCGTGCGACGCGGGGCTGGGCAGCAGGGGCACTGCTGCTGCTCGCTGCTTTGTTTCTGCTGCGAGCGACCGACCGTTTCTTCACCCGCAACTACCTACGTTGTAAGTATCGAACAGATTGGCTTTCTTTTTTGTACTTGCTGAAACGGAAATTCATGCAAGAGGCACTTAGACAAGTATGTGAAAAATCGCATATAAACTAAAAAAGGGAAATTCGCAGGGCGCCGAAGTCGGTCGGAAGAGTGGCCCACTCCTAACGTATTAGCGACAAGTCGTAAGTTTTTTTCTATTTATTTGTTAAGGAATTATTCTTTTTAATGTGGATAATGAGTGTGGTTAAAATTTTCCAGAAGTGGAGACGCCGCCCGTGGAGGTAGACTCTCCTTCGGAGGCGGTCGACGCCGACTTGCCTGATGACCTGCCTCCGCCCTACTCTGAATGCTCCCGTAAGCACAGATTCGAGGAACCGCCTCCACCCTACTCCGCATGCTACGTGGAATTTACGAACCCGAAGGACGGTATCCCAGCCGTCCACTTCTACAACAGCCGGCGGCAGAATATTTTTCGAGACCTGGATGCGGGAACGTCTAGCAGTGATACGGGTCAGCGCGAGGCTTCAAGAAGTGATGAAAGACAAAGTGAAGCGAGAGCAGAATCACCGAAAGTGTTCAGCGACGCTTGTTGATCAATATGAGAAACAAAAAAACTTTTTAAACGATTATTTATGATAGGAATTGGGTTAATTTAAAAACGTATATTGTGATTTTATCTTCAATAATTAGGTGGATAATATAAATTTTACCACCGATCTTACAGTAGGTACCAATAAAGTTGAATCTGATCGGATAATTAATAACAACTTGCATTGATCAAAAGCAACTAATTTGGCGACACTATTGGATAAGTATAATTTGAGATGACAATTTCGAAAAATGTGATAAAAGTGATTTTTGATTTAAGAAGTATGTAGTACCAATTAGGTGCTAGTGGTCGGTAGGTATTAAAGTAGTATTTTTGCTAGAAGTTGTTACAATTATGTAATTTGTAGCTGGTTTAAACGATTAAACAAAACGGTTGCACAAATAGACATTTTATACCAATAACTAGTTTTGCACTTTTTCCGTCGAAAAATAATATCGCTTCAAATATTTGTTTTCAGAAATTAAAATTTTAATTGTTTAATTTTATAGCGATATCTATTACATTAATTTACTTACCAAGAATAAGTATTCTATAAAGTACAATGCTTTGTGTCATTTGTTGTAAATACTACATATTACATCGAGTAATAATGTAGTACCTACTTAAGGAAGGAAGAATTTATAAATATACTTTTAATATATGACCGTCATTTAAATACACGCCGAACAAGTAACTAGTAATATAGTGACAATTTTCCGTTTTGTGGAATAGGTTAGATCGTGTGGAATAGGTATGCACGTCTAACAAAAACCAAGTGTTTGTAAAAAAGTTTAATATGCTTTCAGATCAAAGATTTAGTTGTATGTACTTATTAATTAACACTTAACAATATTAATAAATGCACATTGAGCTATGTATTAATTACTTACATTTTTAACAAAATGTCTTTAAATTCGATTAATTCTTTTTTCTCACAGAGATCAAAATGCACCCAAATTTTACTATAGGACGGCATTTTGTAGAGTTATGTGTGAAAAACTCCATATATCTATTAACATCTATACATATACAAACATTGAGGTTCTTATGGGCTAATCCTAAAAATATTAATATAAATTACACGTGGTTAATATTCTAGTACTACTACAGTCTTAGTATATGCCTAGCACCAAATAGCTACCTATAACTTTATATTATAGGGTATGTACATTGGTTACTTATAGTTAGCAAACATTACAATCACGGTTAAAGAAGTTATGGTATTTATGATGAATGATAATATGAATTCTTGATTAAATTAATACTCCATGTAACAGTTTTCGTCGCTTAACAAAACAATATAGCCTTTAAATTATAGTCACAATCAGTCATTTAATAAATCCCGGCGATAGCTTCAGTAGAATAGGTATCCCTTTAAACATTGCTGCAGTCTCTATCAAGTAATGAATTACAATTCGTTGTGCCTGCGCCGGACGTACCGCGCGAAGTAGTCAGGACGCCAGCATTTGCAAGAGCCTGGCACTAAGAACCAATCGTAGTACAACCGCACCTGCAAAGATTCACACGCGGAGCCATGTTATCACTGCTTGTCTCGGTATTCATTTTAAAGTTAGTTTTAAATCCTAGTAAAAAGGTACCTGATAACATCCTAGTTCGTCATGCCCATCACAGTGCATGGGCTTCTCGGTCGTCACCTCCCCCGTCTGAGTCCCGAACTGCTGGTAATCCTAAATCGTACATTTTAGTTATTAATATTATACACAACAGGTAAAAAGGGTCTGGAAATAAAAATGCTGTTTTACCGGCTGTTGCGACGTCGACGGATAATGCATTTCAGCGACGAGCAGCGACACCCAGCGCGGCGAACTCAAACATCCGCCCTCTAAGTAATGGCATCGAGACTGCATGCAACTGACAAAGATACATTACGTTTACATTTGCATTCGCAGGACGCCATTAACAACCACTTAGAATATTGGTTAGAACTCCGATTAGATTATGAATCAGATCAACTTGAAAGTACAGCTTACCGCGTGACTTCAACGGTTTGTGTAAAGTATCCCTCATAGGGTATCTGTACCACATACCGCCACACACCCTGGTAATTCCGAGCGAATACGGGAGTGGCATATTCTACACGCGCAGGACACGGTGTGGGGGGACCCTGTAATTCGAGTTGGTAAGCTTAGTCAATGAATACAAAAGAGAAATGAAATAATGAAAAATTGAAATACCGACCTCATATCTGTGAGGTCCGTGCGGAGCTTGCGGCGCGACTCCAGGGTCTTCCCTACGTTCAGGTCCAGCAGAGTCTCCATTAATAGCCCGATACAACATACAGAACCTGAAAATTTAAAATGTTTATTTTATAACTACCTATCTACACAAATCATTATCACGAAAAAAAAATCATAATTACGTAATTTATATTCATAACTTAATAGCACTACCTATAAACGACGTAGAAAATCCAACTCTAATAAAATAGCTCAATATGAAATGGTAGTACAGCATGTTTTTAAATGTATGATTTTTTTCAAATTGATCTCAATATATCCAGCCCTTAATAATATTATAAACATAACAGAAAAAAAAATTCTTTACTGGAAAGATACTACTGGCCATCTGTTCCGAAATGCCTTCTCTCAACAAATGGCCCTGATGGAAGTATAAGATTAAATCTTAAAATTTAACCCAATAATGGTAAAATGAAGAATTACACGAAACAACACTATGATTTATAAGACATTATCGCTGATAGATTTAATTGTATATATAACTTATAACATAATGCATATACGAACATATTATATTATTCATGTTACTGAATTTGTCATTTGCATCTGTTTTCGAGATTTTTTTATAGCACAAATTTAACATTCATTGAAGTTACTTCTATACGTCATATAAAGTATAGCTATACTATACAAGCGATTTTGATGCAAAATGTTCGAAAAAGAATTAATTTAAGTTTTCTGCTCAGTAGACTGTCGATTTTCTATTAAAAACCAAATAAAAACACATAAACAGCTATATATTATTTATTTTTTTATTTTTTTTAATATTATGGCAAATTTGCTGAGTTTCTTGCCCGTTCTTCTCAGAACAAGGCCTCCTGGTAGTTTTGCGAACGGATGGCGTAGTCTTGCTCTTTCGTGAATTTTGTAAACGTTGTTAACATTCATAAGCATACTCTAAGAAGCATCTAAATTGAATAAACGTATTTTGATTTGATTTGAATAGTTTTCACTTTATGCCAGTTTCAAGTAAAAGGTTGGGAAACTATATATTATGTTTGATCGTTTCCTATTTTACTATCAAATATCTATGGTTATTTTTAAATTACTTAAAGCTGCTGTCGTCTATCATTTAGTTTGACTTTGACACTTCCATGACTGATATGACATGAACATGACGTTCAGCTTTATCAAATGCACTGTGCACATGACTTTTGTGTTACATTATTTTTTTTTGATTAAAACTTAACTCCCCTCTGCTAACAGCTAAAGTTTACATTTATTATAATAAAAGTAGTACTTTGAAAAAATCTGAAAGTATTTTCAATGGTATTTAATGCATTAAAATGTCCACAGCATTAGTGAAACAAGCTTTAGCATTTGTTGATCCTGAAGGTAGGATATACTAGCTCTTTAGCTGTGCGCATAGCATGAACGAGTTATATTCTTAAGATTGTATTTGATTTTAGAAAACGACACTAAGAAACGCAAGCGTGCCCGAGTAAACCAACGTTTGAAGTCGGGTCAAGGTAAGTTGACCTCGCGCAATTATTTCATCATTTAATATAATACTTCTTAGCCGCAAATGGTTCTCTGCTTTATTAAAATCCTTATCGGCGGATAAAACAAACATTGTATGTGTTTTATTTTAAATAATTTAAATGTAGTTAATGTACTATCATTATTTTAAAACGTTCCAACGGTGAGTTTAAACTTAATACTAAAAAAATTGAAAATTAAAATTTTATTTGAACAAGTAGGTTATATTTTTCGAACTTCTAATTCTTAAAAAAAATCTAAATTTTTGCCATTCTAAACATGCAGTGATATTTTTAGGAAGCTCTCATTCACACAAAAGGGAAAATAAAAAAAACAAGACAGATATACCACCTGAAGGAGACAGAGTAGAAAGCAATATAAGGAAGTTGCTCGCACTTTCTGCTCCTGTGTCCAAGCCGGAGGTGGCTCAAAAGGTATATATGGTTTAAATACTAAATAAATAATACGTAGTCATTTTAAAATTACTCATAGAAAATGTTTATGGATTTATAGTAAATTGTTAAAACCATATAAATTATCTAATATGTAGTTAGTGCAATTATGTTATATTTACATTGCCTGAAAATTGATGTGCTTATATAATATTTTGCTTCAGATTCTTGAACGAGCAGTGAAAGGCAAACCATTGCTAGAAAGAGTCGAGAAGAAAGTCGAAATAGAACAGTCCATATTATTCCCTGAAGAAACTTTTAAAAGTTTTGAAAACTCATACTTTTGCAAATAATCTTTAAAACAAGGAAGAGAAAGAAAAAGTTAAAGCAATGTTTGGATGGATTTGCCAGATGCAGTCATTGGAAAAGCAACTTTGATATCAACATTCACTATTTTCACTTTATTCGTAATCTGGGTTAATTCCTATACTTTCTTTGACAACGGTGAGTTATGTTTGGTTTATATTATATGATGTGAATTGCCACAAGGGTAAATAGGATAGTTTGCCTAGTTCAGTTGGGTATTGATTTGTTTTTAATTCTCTTCATTTTTAAGTCTCACATGAACAATTCCATTTTTCAGATCTCTACATCTACAAGTACATACCAAATCCACAGTGGGTGCTACTGTTCTGTGCAGTTTGGGGACTTTTTTTTATCGGGGGACTCATTTCATTCACACTCTTCCATTTGTACCCTTATTTATAGCAAAACACACCCTGAGTATATTTTTTAAGAATTACATTTCAAATCTCACAAATGAAAATAGTATTAGTGTAAATAGAAAAAATGCTGCAATCGTATCTGTAATTGTAAGAAAATATCATTTAATAGGAAAGATTTATAGTATATTGAAAGAATCGCAGAGAACTGGTACAAAAATGGTGAACGACTGGATAGTGATCGGGATATCGGGAGTCACGTGCGGGGGAAAGACGACATTGGCCAACCGCCTAAGGGACGCGTTGGTGCCGGTCTACGTGTTTCACCAAGACAAGTATTTCCTCCCGGACGACAGCCCTAAGCACGTGAGGTGTCCGGGCGTGGAACACAACAATTACGACATATTGTCGGCTCTCGACATGGACAAGATGCACGACGACGTCTTGCGCACTCTGAGAGGGGAGACCAGGGCTCACGCGGTCGACCTCGAGAGGGCCGAGGGGAAGTGGGGCGTGCCCGGAAAGAGCTTCTTGATTCTCGAGGGCTTCACCGTCCTCAACCACAGGCCCTTGAACGAACTGTGTCACTTAAGGTGAGACGATTCGGTCCTTTCTGCATTCTCGCTTATACTTGTTTCAAACGGTTCTAATAGTGACAAATGCGCGCTTCAGGTATTACTTCGTGCTGGAGTACGGCGAATGTGCGTCGAGACGCGCTTTGCGGTTGTACGACCCGCCCGACACGGCCGGGTACTTCGAACAATGCGTTTGGCCCGAGCACTTGCGCTTCAAGGCACAGGTGAGGGACTCTATCTTTCCTTTTCTAGTGATGCCACTTTCTCTTTGATACAATATTCTTATGTTAAAAAAGTAATTAAACCGAGAACTCGACCCTTCGCCTCCTTTACTGGATCGACGTCACAATGGAAATGTCTGTTACTAAAGTGAAATTTATTTTTGTTAAAGATCGAGAAAGACAGTCGCGTTAAGATGTTGGACGGCACGAGTCCGGACGCTTTCGAAGTCGTCCTGAAAGACCTGACGGAGTCGGGAGCCTCTCGCTTATGAATCCTCGTTGGTAATTGTTAATTCGCATTTAAGTATATACAATTTGTACTTTACTATGCATTTTATTTTAGCTGTATTATAATGTTAGGTATAGAAGTAATATGAGAAAGATACATATGCAAATAGGGTCGATTACCATTCTTCATTTTTGTTTGGCATTTCGTAATTTTATTTGTTAAATATATATAACTACTAGCAGACCGGCCAAGCGTTGCTGTGGCTAAGGTTTTTGTTATATTACATAGTAGTAAACTATTTAAGGGAAACGGTAGGAGAACACCAGTCATGGGGACCACCATGCTTAAAGCCGAACGTCCACCGCCGGCTAAACTAAATGAAAACTAAACTCAGTGAACTAAGCTAAGCTAAACTAGAACTACGTTGTCCGTCCTCCAATAAATAAGCTAAAACTACGTTTTGGATGGCCAGTTTGTGCTAGAACGTCGGGTTAGAAGACGACACGAGCAATGACGAGACTTTAGAGGTAAGAGAGGAGGAGGAGGTCTATCGTCATAGGAGAAGAACATTGATTATTGCTTATTTTATGAAGAAAAAACGGAAACATAGATACTGGATAAGTCAACACATTCAGTCCTGGAAAACAAGTAGCGAATTTAACACTTTGTTTAATGAACTAGACGACGAAAATTTTAAGATGTACGTACTATCGTGTATCTAGACAACAGTTTGATGAGTTACTAACTACTGTCAAAACACTGTCGACAGGCGTCAGAGGGGTAAGGCAAGGGGGTGAGGGGCGCTTAGTTTAGCTCAGTTAGTTACGGATCGGCCGTACAACTAAGTTAGTTCCACTCAGCTGGGGCATTTCACGTAGCTTAGCTGGCATAGTTTGCGGTGGACAAACGGCGTATGAAAAACTGGCTCAACTATGCAAGCTAAGCTAAACTAACTTAGTTTAGCCGGCGGTGGACGTTCGGCTTTATAGGTGGTTATGCCATTAAATTGTAGCTTATGTGAAACGTTGGTACATTCAACACAGCGCCATCTGTTAGAATTGTGACAATTAAATAATAAACAAATATTTTGCTATAAAATAATATTGCGGGTATAAATTGAGATGTAAGCTATCCTATCTTTTAAGTTAGATCAAACTGCACACGGTGTGCAAATTTGATTGAAATCGGCTCGGTAGTTTAGCAGTCCATAGCAGACAAACAACGTGACGCGTAATTTATATATACTGCTCAAAACAATTAGCGGAACAAGATTTTTCTCCTTTCTATTGCTTAAACTAAAATTAGATTTAAATTAACTTGTACGCTATTTTTACCTTGTTAATTTGTTAATTACTACAATTAATAAAAAAAATCAATTTGTATTTTTTTTATTAAAAAAAAATTTAAATGTGCATTATAGACGAAAAACAAAGTGACGTCTTTGAATTTTCATTACTTTCTAATCACAGAAAACACATTTTAAGTAGTTTTTTTTCAATCTTTTGAGTATTAATAGAAATTGAAGTGAGCCTTTTGAGTATTGTTATTCATTGAAGCGAGTGAGTTTAGGTCATAATGCCAGATCTGACTGAATTGCATGTCTCCCGAGCTATCGCTTTGCTTGAAGAGGGTCGAACTATGCGTTATGTAGGAAATGATCTAGGAGTAGCCCCTTCTGTTATCTACAGACTTTGGAAGCGATACCGTGAGACGGGAGAATACTCACGAAGGCGTGGTCAAGGTCGAAAGAGAAAAACTACACGTTTGCAAGATCGCTACATCGTCAACTGTGCTTTACGTAACCGCACCACAACTGCAAGAGATCTACAAAATACACTAAGGACGGCTACTGGTGTAGAAATTTCCGACCAGACGGTAAGAAATAGGTTGTTGGAAGCCAATTTGAGATAACGCCGACCAGTTCGGGCTGTGCGTCTTACAATTCAACATAGACAAGCTCGCCGACAGTTCGCGCAAAATCACGCTAATTGGCAACTTCGACATTGGAGGCCAGTGCTTTTGGGCTGACGAATCACGATTCCGTCTAACACGTTGCGATGGTCGTATACGTGTTTACAGACGCCCAGGCGAGCGATACAGTGCAGCAGCAGTCCAGGAATATGACAAATTTGGATGTGGCTCTGTGATGGTTTGGGGCGGAGTTAGTTTGGACGAGCGCACTGATCTCGTCGTTGTTCCCGGGCGCTTGTGTGCTCAAACTTACATTGAAAATGTGCTCGAAGATCATGTTTGGCCCGCAGCATAAGGTATGGGCCCAGATTTTCTTTTAATGCAAGATAATGCCAGGCCGCATACTGCAGCCATCACGTCATATTACTTACGACAGCAGGAAATCCGTGTAATGGAGTGGCCTTCCATGAGCCCTGACCTAAATCCAATTGAACACATTTGGGACTTGCTTGACAGGCGCATGCGGAAGCGTCCGATTGCACCTCAAACACTGCAGCAGCTCACTGAAGCGTTGATTGAAGAATGGGAGCGAATTCCACAAGAAGATATTCGGAGGATCATACGAAGCATGCCGCGTCGTTGTCAAGCCGTGATTAGGGCTCATGGAGGCCACACACGTTACTGAAAGTCACTAAAGACGAATATTCAAACGATATAAGAATATTTCTTTGATGGACCTTTTTTATCACCAATTACTTTTTCGTCTACAATGCACATTTAAATTTTTTTTTAATAAAAAAAATACAAAATGTTTTTTTTTATGAATTGTAGTAATTAACAAATTAACAAGGTAAAAAATAGCGTACAAGTTAATTTAAATCTAATTTTAGTTTAAGCAATAGAAAGGAGAAAAATCTTGTATCGCTAATTGTTTTGAGCAGTATATACGAGGGGAGGTCCAAAAGTTCGTGGAATGGAGGGGATGGAGTGGGGATAGGGGCGCTCGCTTAGTGTCATACTAATTGGGGACTCATAATTAGTATATAAATAGAGTTTCAGCCCTATTGCGTCATTCGTTTACGAACACTCGCCTGCTAAACACGTCAATCCGGAAGAAAACTGAAACTATGGAGAAAATTGAACACCGTGCTGTCATTAAATTCCTTACCAAGCAAGGAAAGAACGCTCAGACCATTTTGAATGAAATGGAAACTTTTTTACGGGGAACAGTGCCCTAGTAAATCAATGATTTACAAATGGCATGGTCTTTTTAAACATGGTCGGGAGTCGATTGAAGACGACCCCCGCTCAGGAAGGCCAGTTGAGGCCACCACATCAGACGTCGTCGAAAAAGTGGAAAAAATTGTACTGGAGGACACCCGTTTGAAGAAAAAACAGTTATCTGCATTAGTTGGAGTATCAGATACCACAATTTTGCGAATCCTACATGACCACCTGGGTATGACAAAAGTCAGTGCAAGATGGGTACCGAGAATGCTCACGCCGCTTCAAAAACAGCAGCGCGTCGAAGCGTCAAAACATTTTTTGGGAGTTGTGTAGCGACGATCCTGGATCGATTTTGGAGCGAATTGTTACCGGCGATGAAACATGGGTTCATCACTTCGAGCCTGAGTCCAAACAAGAGTCCATGCAATGGCATAAAAAGGGGACACCACCGCCAAAGAAATTCAAAGTGTCGGAGTCGGCTGGAAAGTTGATGGCTACTGTTTTTTGGGATTGTGAGGGGATAATACTGATTGATTATAAAGAAAAGGGCAGGACCATAACCGGAGAATACTACGCAACAATACTAGAAAAATTAAAGGATGCCATCAAAGAAAAACGTCGGGGAAAATTGACCAAGGGTGTGTTGCTCTTGCAAGACAACGCGCCGGTTCACAAGAGCAAAGTTGCAATGGCTGCTCTACACACGCATGGCTTCGAATCACTAGTCCACCCACCCTATAGTCCAGATCTGGCCCCAAGTGATTTTTATTTGTTCCCCAATTTAAAAAAAGACTTAAGGGGAAGGAAATTTTCCGACGATAATGAGGTAAAGGAGGCAATTTTGGCTCATTTTGAGGGAAAAGATAAAAAATATTTTTACGATAGTTTAGAAAAATTAATTCATAGATCTAATAAATGTATTCAGCTTAAGGGTGATTATATTGAAAAGGAAAAATAAATTTATTGTTTCATTTTTACTAAAACCCTTTCATTCCACGAACTTTTGGACCTCCCCTCGTATATTAAGATATAACTTGTAATTTATATTTCTTATTTTTGAGGGATTTATTATAAACAATAGCTCAAACTGAGAAGCTAACTTTATCGTTATCGTGTAACATCGTACCTCGTAACAAAAAATAAAGCATGTACTCACACACCACCGCCGTCGCAAAACTTGCGGCTCTCGCGAGGAGTGTCCGCTCGGTGTTCCATTTCCAGTTCGCTGTCCGGCGTTTCCCAAGGATCTTCTCGCGACCGAGCCGCCCGTCCTCTCTCTTCCAATCTTGAAAAATAAAATATTGTCCGTCACGACTAAGAGTTCTGAGTGATCGTCCACTAGAACATCGTTGCTGCACACACCTGTTGTGCTGTACATCGGGAAGGGCGTGCGGCAAGGGCGCTCCGTAAGTAGCGGTGTCGGCGGGGGCAGGGGCGGGAGCGGCAGCGGACAGGTGAGCGACGCGAGGCAGAGCGTCGTCTGCGCGCAGCACGGGCAGCGTTCGGGACAAGTAGCGCAGAGTATGGTTGCGAATCAGCTCACTAGAACAACATGTATGGACGGTCAGGACGTGACGTTAATGTGAACCTTTTTATCCCAGACAAGCAAAGTTCTAATTTTTTGGGTATTCTTAAGACACAACTCGAGAGAAATAGAGCGAGTAAATATGGGTAACGAATCAACGATCTACTTTGTAGTAGTGCCTTCGAGTGGTAGATGTCGAATGACTCACAAAGGATATGGTTCACCGTTGGGGCTCTGGCCCATGGGGTTACGAGGTATAACTCCCCGGTTGAGGTCTCCGCAAAGGTTGTTAGCGCTAACGTGGGCCTTGGACTCGCCCGCTTCGGGACATTCCGATGCCACCTGTCGGTACGGTGGGGGGCGGACCCTGTAACATCAATCATTTTATTTGTCAGTAAAAAAAAGTTCATTTATTGTTCAACAAAACCGGTGAAAGTTTACCCGGCGCCGGCGCAAGTCGTAAACACGTTTGTGTTGTATTTAAACAATATTCTCTTTTTTATAATACAGTATAATAAATAAACCTCGGTGGCGTTGCGTTTGGCGATTCGACAAAGGCGTAATATCCTTCTGGCGGCTCTTCTGGGTCGGTGTGATTGTCGCCGGAAGCCGGGAGGGCCTTAGTTTCCCCTGCAAGGGAAGGGGAGGGCTCATCCGCCTGGACGATTACTGTAAATGTCTGGAAAAATAGAGATGGACGCGTTTCATCATTATTCACATTCCTATATAAATAAACGAAGAGTAATAAATAGAATAAACTAAATTATGAGTTACTTCAGCTCCTGACGGTAACTGGTGATCTAATCCTCATAGCCATAGATTAATAAATAAAAAGAGGTTGGTAAAATAAAAACGTGCAAGCGATGCACCATAGTCATACAAACAAGTGAGACGCGTCGAAGCGGAATGCAGGTCAGAGTAACGGACGAGTAACCGTATCTTAGAGACATGCGTGTCTCACCTGCCCTAGTGGCTGACAATACTGTAATTAACTATACATATTTAGATTTTGAAAGATCTTTAATCTTTACTATATAACCTAAAATTACCTCTTTTAAGGCTTTCCAATTAGAATTTATATATTTTCCTAATTAAGGTCCTAGTTGAAGTGATTAAACTTCGCCGACCACTCCATTTGGAGCGCCAGTCTTAAATGACTCAAATATTTTCCGAATATCCGGAATGGCCGGTGCATTAATAATAACACAAAAAACACTAAATGATAGTGAAACTGTTAACTAGAAACTAGGTGGAATAATTTCTAAATTTCGTAATTCGAATGAAAAGGGAAATGCTACTTGCGAGTACTTATACGAGTCATCATTATAATACAATTTGTGCTTTGATACGCTTATATCGACAATTGTATTGTTTTATGCTGCTCTCCGCTATTCGATACGTGTTGTTAGGTTGAATCATTAACTTAATAATACTTTCATCGAATCTATTTTAAAATTATGTCTGATTTGAAATTGATATTCCATTGTGTTTTTTTAGATCAATTTTACAAATTATAGAGGCGGAATGATATCTCGTAACAGGCGATTTCATTAATAAAAACATATATTTTATTTATACATTATATTGAAATTCCTTATCAACACTCAACGAAATTTTATTATCTATTGAGTTTGGGGCCAGAGAGGTAGTTTTATAAGTTTGCGTGACTCAAAGAGTTTTCCTTTTGAGTCTACTTTCTCAGTCTTTCAAGATTTGAGGTCAACCGCCGCCGCGTGGGAGCTTTTTATCTAATTTGGGAAATTTTGCTCTCAATTGTATACTGTTACGTCTATCTAAGTATAATTACTTCTATGTTACACCAAAATCTAGATACCTTAATTAGGGTCACCGCACATATATATATATATATAAATGTATATAGGTACATTTCATTTGTACCGATACATACGAGTATCTCTAGGGTTACATCTTTTCATATGTATTGCGTTTGTAAAATTTTAATGATGATAAAATTTGAATCTCCATGGCTGTGTAAAACTTACATAAGACATTTATGAAGGTAATCAGAGCTGGCAAGTCATTATTCCCGCTAGGCAATTGCAGAACATTGACTCATCATACTGTGACATTGTATGTCACACTAATAACGTGTATGAATATTAAAATCATTTCGGAGTATGTACTATTAGGGGTGTTCAATAAAAAAAGCCAGCTTTTTGATAGGCAGCAATCGCAACTTTGCACTTGTGCGTGGGTCTAAAATCGGGCTGAAATTATTTCTTCTGATAAAAATAAACAGTAATACGACGAACCGCCAAGATAATGATTGTAACTTCTTTAATCATTTGTTCAGTTACCACAGATGTAGGGCGCCCTGTGCCGGGGTCGACGGTTATGGAAGTTCTTCTCGCTTGAACTCAGCATATATACCTACGCACAACCGATCTGGAGAAGCATGAATCCCAAACTTTGCTGTCAAGTGTAGATTTACCAGCTCCGTAGTAAACTTTTCAAGCAGAGATATTTTATCACCGCGCGAACTTCAATTCCAATTTTAAGAACACGTCAGACACGGCGCAAACAAATTACTTGCATTGATTGTTCTATTATTATGTCTAATGTCTGGGCTATGCCTGACAGGATTTTTTTGTCTAAAGAGAATGTATCAATGTTGTATCGCATTACCACTATTTATTGAACACCGCACGTAGGTATACCTATATATATACTAAGTATACCTATGTATATACTTAGTATACCTAATATTCGAAGTCGAGACTTGGAGCTAAGTATGACCTGCGTAAGTAAGTCAAATCCAAAAGAGCGAAGTCTTCTCTTTAAATATGAACCTTATTAAGGCGATGAGGCTAAATGTGGTAGGCACTCCACTTTAAATGTAGAGGGCTGAGCTCCTCGTCTTCAGGAAGTAGCCCCTCGCTTTGTTGTACCATTAATCGAATCACCACCCGAGTGACAACCGATAGGAAAGATATCAACCAATAGTATAATAAAACTATTATTTACATCACTACTCATGGTGGTAGCGGAAATTTTGTAATTTAATTTTTTGGTGTTTGAAAATAACGTCTCAATATCTTGATGCGATCGGAAAACATTTGGACGATACATAATAATAATACATACAATACAGTATTCATTCTAATATTTTTTGAAATCTTACCAATTGATCGAGTCCTCACTGGTTATCAAGATGCGTAGCAATTAGCATACGGTAACAATTGATGAGGGTTGATTTGTAATTGTCTTCATATACGTCTATGTATCTAATATTAGGTATATCTGCTACTAATTGTAACCATCTACTAAAATCTGTTGTTGCTTACATACAAAAAAGAATCGCACGCAAATGCTAAAGAAACCTGCACTGCAGACCGCTGTGCACTTATAATAAGTATTCTTACAGATAAATATTAAAAACGCACAGAGTATTGCAGTATTTGCTTATTAATTTGGTCGGTGTTTAACGAACGTTTCTTCTAATTTATTTAGTATTTGTATAAATATCTTAAATTAAATGTTCAACAGGTAGATAATAATCACATCCAGTTAACTTTTCAGTGTCAGTGGGTCAAATAGTAAATTCCGTGGTTCAACGATCTCGTAGTTTATAAATAATCACCGTACATTAATAATTTTAATGTACATATTTAAATAAGTGTCAAGTTTTCGTAGATTCTCGGAATTTCCCGTAATTTTTTCTATTTGTTTGTACACTGGCTGAGTTCACAAGAGTTGCTTCCTATATTATTATTTATTAGTTATAAGATTTAGTTATGTAAATATATTTTTTTAATGTTTTTTATCTAGGTTAATTGGTGTGGGTATAAATATTGTGTCGTTCTATTAAATTAGTAATTACTGTAAAGATAGAATTATGTTATGGAATAAAATAAATTTATCCTAAAATATAAGTACTACTATCAATATTATAGATTCTATAAAATATTTTTTATATTGTTTAATAGGTATAGATATATATATATTTTAAGATAAGCTTAGTAAGATTAGCACGTTATTGAAATCAGCATTGCTTAAGCATTTGTTTTTAACCAAAAAGGAAAACCTACCTAGAACTTTTAATACCTGTGTCTACTCCATCATGTTCCATATCTAACTCTCTATCAGTGCTAATTAACCTATATAATGAGGAAAGTAGAAGTAAGTATAAGGGCAGTGACCGCCCCCGGCACTGGCCACTGGGTGAAGGCCGACTAACGGGCGGAATGACGTCAGTTTTGATGAAACTGGAACACAAAGCCTTTAGACTGCATTCGGCAAAGACCACAAATATTTATACTTATGTTCAAAACTCTCCATTTTCAAAAATTGTGTATATAGTACTGATTTCAATAGATGATACTTATATCTTATTAGAATTGTAGTGAGGGGATAGTTTAGAGAATCCGTACTACAGAATATCAGTTCACTTACCGAAATAATGTTAAACTTTCAATTGAGTTATGTTAAGTTGAATTTAACAAAACTATTTACAGTATAACACCATTAATATATTGTTATAATATTTTACCTAAAAATCAATTCTTCTTTAATTAGTAGATTATCAGGATTACGAAAAAAGCACCTCCTTTTTTCGTTTGGAGAAGGGGCATAATAATATATTGCCAACTTCCGAGCCGAATATCAGTTCGGAGGACAGTTGATACAATATTCATGGCGCATGCGTAACGGCATCGCATTCTTCAACACAATCTACATACTCTGATGATTTCTAAGCGTGACACTGTATAGCACAATATTAATAATTTATCACTTCTTTACTATTCGTCACTTTTTAATGTTAGTGATTGGGATATGGACTTCCTGTTACGACTGCTGTCCGCACGAGATATACAGAGACGTCTACGATCTTACCTAGGTATACCTAACGTGACCAGACGTCCCGTTTAGAACGGGACTGTCCCCTTTTCCAATTACGAGTCCCGGTATCCTCAAAATGAACTGTGAGACGCAAAATTGTCCCGTTTTCAGAAACTGTGGCAAAATTTAAGCAGCAGAATATAAAAAAAAACATGCCAAGAGTTTCAATCTTATTTGAAATCGTCACCAGCCATATTAAAACAAGTTTGTTCTTCTGACAAATATAAATATAACTAAACATTTTGAGTAGGTACCTATATTTTGTGATTCGTAACTTTTAAGCCAACTAACTTTTTCTAAATAGATAACTTTAAAAAAGTGTTTTTTTTTCATTGACTAATTATTATTTGACCTAAATTAATCCAATGTCCCGTTTTGAGTCAAATAATAAATGGTCACTTAAGGTATAGGTAGTGGTACCTTACTTTGTTCTTTATAATTATTTTTAAAGAGCTTCCGATTTAATTATTTCTGCTTTGTGATGACTCATAATTAGCTCGCGTTAATCTAAATGTTATAAAACGAGTGTAACGGTCTGAAAAGGGCTTCTGTCGGATTGCCACATAACTGTGACTGACACAGATCGCATAGTATCGTGCTGGGAGCGCTTTCTTAACTAGACCATAACATTGCCGTTCCGCTTACACTTCTTACAATACACAGTTACACACGGAAACCAATGTGCTTTATTGCAACTAGCTAATTTTCAATTCCTAAAGTTCCAGAACTACGTATTAGTTAAATTATTAGTACGTTCGCAAGTCCTACAAGAAGCGACGCATAATCGGGTTTAAACAGTCAGTTTAGTGGTTCGTGGCGGTTGAAGTTGGACTTCACATTCTTAAACATTAATATAAAAAAACTTTTTTGATGCATTTTAAACATTAAAATATAGATGTACCAAAAATATTGTTTAATACCCTTATGAAAATTTTGTTCAATTTGTTAATAAAAGGCCGAAAAAATCCTATCGGGTAACATTGTGGGTTCTTTTTAATCCGTCGGGCTTACGAGTTAAAACCGCATAAACGTAGTTAGCTTGAAACTCACCAAAAGAAGCAGGAACCGCAACATTTTGTTCTGAATTTCATAAACACAAAATAGCTATCTACTTTCTATTGACCGTCACCGCATCTCACCACGCTCACTTGACGCTTAACACTGCTCACTACTGAGTGCTGATTGCGGACTGCCGAGATGTAAAAGCATCAATAGCGGGGAATGCGGTGAAAGGACGCTGCCTCTCCGTGATAGTGACCTAGCGCATTATTCCTTTAAATAATCTAGCGATAAAATAATCATTGACAACAGCATTAGGGTAGTTATTTGTTCGAATTTAAAGAAGCGACATTATATGGTTAAACTATAAATAAGTTCTGTATATGTAAACCTATTTAATAACTTTCCTGAACTTATAGATCATTTAAGTAATTGCAGTGGATACTTTACAATGCTTTCAAAGGGAAGGTGTTTAGATTTTTAAAGGCCTGTACAGAGTCTGCATAGAGATAAATTCCCTGTCTGAAATTGAGATAATTAATATTCTTATTAATTAATATAAAGATAATATTTAATTATTATTAAAAAAAAATATGATTTCGTAATTATATCAGGCGAAAGCATCAGCTGCAACTTTCCGTTCATGAATCCTAGTCCCCATTCAGACTGACACACGGAATGATACCTATCACTAACACAATGCATATTTAAGTGAGTGCAGTAGTCAGTAGACTTCATTAATGGCTCAAGGAAATTAGTTATTCAACTGGATATTCTGAAGTTTGGGACTAATTTCACGTAATGTAGACATTAAAGTAATAAAACGCCTGTCGATTTTACAAGCAAATAGGTTTTAATACAACTTTTCGCAAAAAAATCTCAAAGATTTCAATAATATAGTAATTGCGGATGGTAGCGTTGTTATTTGTTTAAATACTTTGAATAGGTTAACTATATTCATATACGTAAACTTGAATGAAGGTAAACTTATTGATGTATTTTGCCTATTCAGGTCAGATATTGTCATGTTTAGGTGAATTACCTACAAGGAAAATCTGTCGCTGATAACTATAAAGCTATTTTCCTGTTTGTAGATATTATAAAGGCGATACTTTGTTTCCGTGTCGTAAGATGATGCACGCGTTGTGTTTGGTTATTTATTGGTTTGTTTGTGTGTTCAGCTATGTTGAAGGTAAATTTAAACGATATAAGTAAGATTAGAGATAACACATAAGAATTGTAAGACAACAGGAGAGACGAAAGTTAGATTTTTTTATTTCTACAGAATACCAATAAAGTTTGGAAAAACATTGTTAAAATAAGTACTAATATGTGTATTATTTTATATTACTAAGATAATCAATACTGGTTTTGTTTGACAAACGCTATGTTTATTTAATAGCTATATATTTATTCAGAAGGTCCTGGATTCAATTACCTACCATCGATTCAAAAATTATTTCGGTTCGAAAGGCCAAATCTGCTAATCCCCGTGTTTGTTAGCTGACCATTATTAAAGATTTTCATACCTGATTAATAGCAGCTGAGGCCGGTGGGTCACCAACGGTAGTGACCCCATCGGGCACTATACTGGGGTCCTTAATGACGTCACGCCGTGGCCGTCCCATACACGCCTTCCGGGGCATTCGCTATGCGGAGCCACCCATCGGAGAACTGCGGTTCAGAGTAAGTAATTACAAAAGTCTCTATTTTTATATACAAAGTTTTGAAGAATTAGCTTGTGCAAAATAAATGGAGATCAGGGACCAAAACTGTAAATAATAATCGAATCCAGCCTTAGGCATACTTAGAAATTAATATTGCGGTGGGCAAAATGTTCCACAAGGACCACCAATCTTTCCTTGCTTTTACGAATATCAAATGCTATACAAAAATAAACAGAACCTTACAAATATACTATTGCTAATTAGTACCTATATAGTGAATAACAAAAAAGATAATTATATATACTTGACAGCTGCCAGTATTAATAACAAAATATAAGGAAGAAGTTAACGCGACAGCGGAAGGTCCCGCGTGTCCACAAGATGCTGACCCAGGGTACTTCCTTGACGAAGACTGTCTGAAACTAAACGTGTACAAACCGGGAAACAGGTATTTAGAACCGAGAAATGATTCTCTAGCCATTGAGAAAAAATTTATTAATTTTTTATTGTAATTAACACTACACGTAAGGATTTAAGAAAAAATAGAATATATGTATGTGTGTGTGTATTGTCAAGAATACCTAAAGATTATTTAAACTACACAGAAATAGCACTTCCCTTTTACCCGTTGTGGTGTACATCCACGCTGGAGGGTACTACTCAGTATCCGGAAGATCAGACGTCGCTGGGCCTCACTATTTACTTGACAAGGATCTGCTCCTTGTTACCATTAACTATCGCCTGGGTTCATTGGGTAACTATATTTCATGTTTTTAATTTGTCTTTGTATATAAATACTAGTTCATGCCCACTTATTATATGACCCATGAACCGTACAATGACTTACGATCGATCCTGACCCTTTGGCTCGTATGACACGAATCCCGATTTTTTCCAACTTGATTATGTAAATAACAATAAGTTTTAGACAACATTTATCTTTTTGTTGCGTTGTGATGATGCTAAAGTGTTGTGTCTCCTCATCTTGTAAAAAGTATTAATCTCATCGAATTATTCGTTTTAGGATTTCTAAGTACAGGCGATGAAGAGGCTCCTGGCAACAACGGCTTTAAGGACCAGGTGACGGCCCTTCGTTGGGTGAAGCGGAACATTGAATCATTTGGTGGTGACCCCAATTGCGTGACGCTGGCGGGTTATAGTGCCGGAGGAATGAGTGTCGCATTACACACTGTATCGCCTATGTCTAAAGGTATGTAAGTTGGCAGGTCAAGTTTGTATTTTAAGCACAGCTGCTACATTCTAACATATCTCATATTATATTGAAAGGTTTAGATTACTTACCCTCACGCGTAAACCTATTAAAATACAGTAGTAAATACATACATTTCGTGCTGTTACAGGTTTGTTTCATCGGGCAATTTCCATGAGCGGCTCCCCTTTCTCCCAAATACCTCGGAGCCAGGAACTCTTGTCGCTAGCCTTGCGTCAGGCGCGTCTAGTCGATTGTCCTCACTCCTCCACGAGAGCTATTGTCGACTGTCTCAGAACCGTTCCTTGGAGAAAACTTGGGGACTCACTTAAAGGATTTAGGGTTTGTTGTTGTTAAACCATATGTATATGTATAGTGAAGTCCCTTATTATTGCAAGGAAAACATGTCTGCTATTTTGTTTTTTATTATTTTATAGTTTACAACCAGAAGCAATTATTGTTTTGACTGGAATCTAAACTAAGATTCTGCGTACTGTGTTACTACAGCAGGAATGGGTACTATTCAAACTGTTCTTAGAAAAATCTTAATAGCTTATTTGAAATTTCGGCTCCACCTGGCATTTGAACCCGAGACTAGATGATGATGTTTTAAGCAAACCACGAGATCAATAACCTTTAGATAATAGTGCTGGGTGGTATACCAGTAGGTGCAATCGATATATTTTAGAATGAGCTTTAGCAGAAATTACCATGCACAAAAATATTCTAAGTAAACAGTTTTCTCCAATACAACGAAAAAAATCTAGAGCAGCGATATATGTAGATTTTGAAACATTTCATGGCATATTTTAGGATTTCTCAATCGACCCAATAATAATCTGGAGACCAGTGATCGAGAGAGACTTTGGCCAGGAGCGGTTCTTGACTGAGGATGCGATGGTCAGCATCAGGGAGGGGAGGATCAGCTCGGTTCCTTTCATTGTCAGTCAGACAAGAGACGAATTCTTCTGGGAGGCTTTCTGTTAGTTTTATTTTCTTGTTTGTGCGAGATGCAGTCAGTTTTTTCAATAATAAATTTTTTTAACCGAATTTTAGTTTAAGATTGATTATGATCAACTACAATTTTATTTCACGCAGTTAACTTAGAAAAACAACACCCAAGGGAGTAACACGACATTCCAGGAGGGTAAAAACTTTTACTTTTACTCTAAATAAGAAACGGTTTCGTAAAAAAATTACGTGAAAATGTACTTGTCGCAGTGGTACTGGATAACTTCATATACACGTCCCTGATCAACTCTGATTGGTACCGAGTGTCGCCAATTGCGTTCATGCTGCCGTCGCCCTCCGACGACGCCGCTGCCGTTCTCAGAGAGGCTTACGCCGGCTCCACATGTGGGTCCCAACGCTCGTACCAACGTTGGACTGCAAACTCGGTGAGGCGTACACACGTTGGCTAATAAACTAGTTCTGTCCCGTCAGGGCCAATGTGAAGATGTCCGATACAGAAATCGAAACTGCTCTGAGCGCGTTTATAGTAATGATGAGTGCACATTTATATTTGTTACTGAGAAAAAATAAAAAGCCACGTCAAAGTCAAAATTCTCGCTTTTTTTTAAAATCTTCAATTGAGAAATTCATTCCCATATTTTGTTGAATGGTGCGCCATGCATCAGCTATTAAATTTTATTTTTATGATCCTTTCGAGTTGCGTCCCATATTATTGGATGTGCTTGATAAAGTTCAATAAATTCTATTACTTTTTCATTTGTCCATGCCGGTGGCGATTTTGTGGATGAGGAAGCCATTCTCGCTCGACGTACGCACTCGCTGCGTACTGTAACAGAACTAAGCAAAGCGCCAACGTGTGGACAGATCGCGAGCGTTGGCGCAGATTCCTTTGATGAAACCGACACGAGCCGGCCAACTACCAACACTCGCCCCAACGTTGGGACCAATGCCATTTTCTAGATCCACACGTTGGACGAATAGCGTTGAGGCCAATATTGGGGCCAACGTGTGGAGCCGGCCTTATGTGGGAAATCAATCCCTCGAGAACAACACGGAAGATGCCCGAAATCTAGGGAAGTTGTATGGAGACGCAGTCATCGGCTTTGGGGTTCACAGGTAATGTTCAATATTATGATCAACAAAAATATGTTTTTGTTTGTTATATAAAAGTCAAAACTATTGGATCAACACAAAAATTAATTTTACCTTTGCCACATGTCAGCGAGTAATATAGATATTTTTCATTTCCTTGTATCTTGAAATTGTCTATTTTATATTGCTTATCTAATAAAGACGCGATTGATTAATGTTGTGGAGGCAGGGAGGTACAACTCTTCCTCTAGGAGGCTCAAACTCAAACTCAAAATATCTTTATTCAAGTAGGTAACCAAGTACACTTTTGAATCGTCAAGTTAAATTAATCGTAAATTTACATTTACTACCAGTTCGCAAGTCAAGGGCGTAGAGCGGGTAAGAAGAACTGGCAAGAAACTTTCCGCCACTCTTTTTAATCGCCAAGTATTGTCATACAAATTGTTTGAACTGGAGCAATTCAATCCCAAGGATTAGGATCATTTAAGTAGTCCTCAAATTTATAAAAAGCTTTGTTGATTAATTTTCGTTTAACGAGGGCTTTGAATTTATTTAGTGATAATTCTCTAATTTCGCTTGGGAGCTTGTTGTAAAAACGAATACAATTTCCATATAAGGAGTGGTTTATCTTTTGGAGCCTGGTTGGTCGTACACTCAAATTAGTTCTATATTTTCGCGTATTATACTGGTGAAAGTCACCATTTGTTTTAAAATCGTTTATATTTTTTTGGACATACAACAAGGCTTCAAGAATATATTGACCAGATAGTGTCATAATATTTAATTCCTTAAACTTATTCCGTACCGACTCCCTCGGAGAAACACAACAAATACCCCGAACAGCCCCTTCTGCAGCACAAATATGGATTGAACCTCTGCAGCAGCACCCACAGTAAAATGCCGTACGACATAACGCTATGAAAGTAGCTATGGTACACAATTTTAGCCGTGTCCTCATCAGTAAACTGTCGGATTTTCTTTACTGCATATGCTGCAGAGCTCAGCCTATTCGAAAGAGTCTCTATGTGTGGGCCCCATTGGAGTTTACTATCTATTGTTATGCCTAGAAAAACAGTTTTGTCAACAAAGTTTAGTTCACTGTCCTTAATTTTCAGGTTACCAATATCTCGCTTTACGCTAGTAGTTGTAAATCTAATACATTTTGTTTTATTCTCATTAAGCAATAAGTTATTTACATTAAACCAGTTAACTATACGAGAGATAGAATTGTTTACATCGTCCAATAATACGTTATTCCTATTCACTTTAAATAGAAGTGAAGTGTCATCAGCAAACAATACCATCTCATGAACTTCGTTGACAAAGAATGGGAGGTCATTTATGTAAATCAGAAATAAGAAAGGCCGAGAATCGATCCTTGGGGACGCCCATTGATACCTGCGAACCCGGAGAGGTGACTCCATTGACATGAACTCTTTGGATCCTTCCCTTTAAATATGAATTCATCAGGCTGGAAGCTTTGCCATCAACGCCATAGTGTTGAAGCTTTCCAACGAGTATATCAGGATGAACACAGTCAAAGGCCTTTGACAGGTCACAAAAGACGCCGACTCCATCATATGATTCTTCCCAGGCGTTAAATATGTCCGAAATCAACTTCACACCGGCATCGATTGTGGAGCGACCCTTAGTGAAACCATACTGTTTATTATGTAAGAGTTTATTTTTATTAAAATGTAAAGAAAGCTGGTCTAGCATTATCTTTTCAAAAACTTTGCTCAACGCAGGGAGCACGGAAACAGGTCTGAAGTTTGACGGATCAGACTCACTACCGGTCTTGAACAACGGTGTAATCTTACTTAATTTCATTTCGTCCGGAAAGACTCCACAATCGATATATCTGTTAAAAATTATAGACAATTCAGAGCTTATTACATTAATAACGGAATTTAAAATGACTGTTGACATACCCCATATATCTTTACTTTTTTTTAAATTAATAAGCTTAAAAGTTTTAACGATATCATTACAAGTTATATGTTTAAACTGAAATTTAATATTACATTCAGGTACACATTTTTCTTGCAATGAGATCGCAGCAGCAGGTGAAGAATCTAGGGACTTGGTCGTATTTAGTGGTACATTTGTAAAGAACTCTTCAAAAGAAGAAGCTACCTCTGGGTCAGATTTTATTAACTTCCCTTTAACTTTTAACATATAATCAGTTCGTTTGTCAGACGTTTTACCTGATTCTTCATTTATTATTTTCCAGGTAGCTTTTACTTTATCCATGCTATTTTTTATTTTTGAACTTAAATATTGCAGTTTTGCAATCTTTTTTGAAATTATTTGAATACAACCTAACATATTCCCTAAATTCCACACTAGTGTTATATTGCATTTCGTCATAGATTTCATATAATTTTAACCTTTTCCTGTGTAACTCCTCATTTGCCTAGTCGCAGAAACTTGTTTTCTCAGAGACCAATAAAGTCTTTTGAGTAAATACTTTCTTGCTCAGTAGGTATACCTAACCACTGGCTGGCCGGCCCGAAGGTCTCAGAGGCCTCATTCGCACCCGCTATCGTGGGCGGACATTGGCCAGTTCGGGCTAAGCTGGTGGCAGAAAGGACCCCAACGGCTATAGACAAAAAGTGGTATATCCTAAACCGTCGGAATAACTTAGTGCGTTTCAGAGTATCACCGTGTCACCATACTGATTGGTAGTCGATGATTGTAGGTTTGTAGGTCGCCAAATTTTGCTCAATGCGCAGGAAATGATTAAGTATAAGTATATTTAAACTCTGCTATATACCTTTTCCTGAAACAAAAATATGGGAAACATTTTCTTTAATTTGTCTATTGAAATATAAAATTGTCCATAGGTTGGTGAATTTACTGTCGTATCAGTCCCAGCCGACTTACCGCTTCGTGTTCGAATACATGGGCAATCGCAGCCACTACGAGGACCCTGCCACCAGAAAACCTGTGGGTGTGTAATAGAATAATCATAATTAGTTATAGGTTTTTTTATCAATATTTATATTAAAAAACCAGGCTTTAGAAAACACATTTCTTTTACAAATAACTACATGATATGGGCTTAGTTTATGCATCTATCATAATCAATCTGTCGTTAATTAATGTATTAATTATAATTATATGCTATTCTTGTTTGAGGTGTGGCCCACCACGATGAGCTGATTTATCTGTTCTCTCTCCGAGTGGCATTTGAAGACATCCCACTATCACCTTCTCACGACTCTGTCATGGTGGACAAGTTGACTACTATTGTCTACAACTTTGCACGTACGGGGTAAGTAAATCTATAACATTTTAGAAAATGCTACCGTGGACACTGTTCGGTTTTCTGGAATGAAAACTTTTAAAGTTTTTCTGTGATTTTTCTCTATATAAACTTCAGAGTTCAAATCATAAGATTTTAATTAACAAATAAAAAATAAGGGTTGGTCGTAGAGGGGTGAATTTTTTTTTATCTAAAACATAAAATTTAGGGCCACCCTTAACATTTAGGGGTTTGAAAGATAGATAGTAGCTATCGATTCTCAGACTTACTGAATATGCATAAAAAATTTAATAATAAGAATCGGTCGAGCCGTTTCGGAGGAGTATAGGAACGAACATTGTGACACGAGAATTTTATATATTAGATATTAGTAGGAAATGATTTAATACCGTGTGAATTGAAATTATTGCGTTTGCAGTTGATTCACCGCGAAATTTTCAAGGATTTACCAAATTTCAATTAATGAAAAAGCCAAGCAGACATTAATTCTACGTCGCTATGTCTACAACTATATATTGAGAATATATGTTTAAATCAAATGTCACATATAATGCAGTTATTTAACAGCAAATATGTATAAAGATTTAAGAATTGGTCTATGTTAATAACCTCTTATTTATTCGCAGTGACCCGAACCCTCTCTGGGGTACTTCTCCCCCCACATGGGTACCCTTTACCCCCTCCAACGGGACTCATCTCTCTATCTCGGAACAATACACATTAGGACAAGATTGGTATAAAGAGAGATATCGAATTTGGGAACAACTCTACCCTTTAGATTATAGTTTAGCTTCATTGTAAACAATATTGGAAATTTTTAATGTAGATAATTTAAATTTGATGTCATTACACGTTCTAATCTCATAAAGCTATTAAAATAAATTCTACTAAGTATTTTATAGCATGCTGGATATCAAATAGACGTTTGTCCAAAACAGCAGTAGGTATGCCATATCACATATCATGTAGACTTTAAAGGAAATTAAACTATTTCCTACGTTTTGACCAACCTAAAATATCAGATAAAGAATGCTTTGCGGCTTTTGCTTACGTCTCCTCTTTGTTTACTATATCATACGTATTTTCAATTTTACTTGATATACATAGTAAATTTAGAACGTTAAAATTTTCTGTATAGATTTTTACCTACATTTAGGCGACATACGATAGCGAATATAGATTCAATAGCGGATCTTTTAAAAATACAGCGGAATATAGCAAATACCAACTCGGCGACAACAGATGGCTTTAATAACGAAACACAATTTTAAACCTTCTAGAATGCTAGGTATAAGGTACGACCGACTAAATGTTTCAAAAATGTAAAATCATAAGAACCTACTTCTATTATTCAATTCTCTGGTCCTTAGCATTTTGTAATCTGGAACCCTCATTATTATGTCCATGTTGATAGAATCGAACGAATTAACCGCCATTTCGCCAAACATCTATGCCTTTTAATTAATAACATTCGCTACAGTGGCGGATTTATAGATTTGCCGCCCGTAGGCTATTCAATTTTGCCGCCTCTAAATTTTGATATCTTAAGTCCACAATCATATCAATTTTCTATCAATAAAATTCCAACTTTATAACTTTTTTTATATATCAGGAGCCCGCTTCGGCTCACGTAGTAACCCTATCGCGCTGCACTTGTGCTATCCATTCAGCCAGACACTCTTACCGAATCGTCATGTCGTTTGTTCTGGCGTTACAATACAAATACGACTACGCAATTACATGCCTTAAGTGCGAAGCGCGTAGTAGGTATGCTCTACTCTTGCCTAAAAATCTAAATCCGATGTTTTCTCACATTATTTTTATTTTTTTTAATTTAATTTAATTGTTTAATTCAGAAAACAAGGTTCCATAACAATGTTAGTAAATTACAGCTTAATACCTTAAATCTAAGTGTTAGTATGTTTACATTAATTCATACCGGAATCATTCCGCATGAAATAGAGGAACAGTGATTCAGGTATGGGCAATCGACTCGGTCCGCGATAATGCGGAGGATACCGTTACCGCTAGCTCTCACCCTGCGCACCAAGGATGCACATCTCTTGCGTATGGTGGCGTAAAAACAATCCACCCGCGCCTCAGCAAACATCCCCGATGCGCTGCAGAATCGAGGCAGCCGCAACAGCACCCTGAACGCATTATTATATTGGATACGGAAAGCGTTGTATGACAATCGAGTATATTTCGACCATAAGGCGCTCGTATAGAATGATGTGCAGAATGCTCTAAACAAGGTTACTTTCACATCAATTGAGCATCGTGCAAACCTGCGGGCGATCATGTTCGCCCTGACACACAACGCTCTCCGTTCCCTATCTATATCAGCATCGTCCCTGAGGTCGGGTGTCAAAATGTGTCCAAGATATTTAAATGTTTTTACAATTTTTAAAGGGACCCCATATAGCGACATGGGGGGTATACTGGACACACCCTTCCAACCGGCCCCAAAGACCATGACTTCACTTTTATTTACATTATATTTCAAACCATGACTAGCCGCATATACCTCACAGAGCTTAAGGAGACGTCTAACCCCGCAGACCGACGCACTCAGCAGCACCATATCGTCTGCGTAGCTGATATTGTTAACGCACACACCGTCCACGTGACAGCCGACACGCTCGCTGCTAAGCGTCTCAATCAAAGCGTTTATATATAAATTAAAGAGAGATGGAGAGCTCAGTCCACCTTGTCTTACTCCACACTGCATCGTATAGGGCTTAGACAAGGCACCCATCCATTTAACATTATTGATTTGGTTACCATACCAAAACTTAAATACGTTCAGAAGTTCTTGAGGAACACTTATATCCTCTAGCTTCTTCCAAAGTAGATCGTAGCAAACCAAATCAAATGCCTTGGAAAGATCAAGGAAACAGGCATATACCGCCGTCCTCCGACGCAGATAGTATGAAACGGTGTGCTTAAGACTCAGTATAGCACCATCTGTAGACAGCTTGGGTCGAAACCCAAACTGGTTATCGTGCAAATGTAGATATTTATTTAACTGAGTATTAAGCAAACCGTCCAACACCCTAGCCATAATAGTCGCCAGCGATATAGGCCTGTAGTTTGAACCATCCGCCAAATCTCCTGTCTTGTTTTTTACAACCGGTATAACTAATGTTCGCATAAGATCATAGGGTAGATATGCATGACTTATACACAACGAGTATAGCATGGCTAATAACCTATATATATGAGAACCAGCGTACCGTATATGCTCGATGCTTAACCCATCATGACCAGGGGACTTTCCTCTTGACATAGAACTTATAACGCTTCTTACATGTTTGGCGCTAAATTGAGTATTAACCCTATCACCAATGGGTACAGCACTGAGTTCGTTTCGCGACGGTCTCAGCGAGGATGATATATAGAAGTTGTCTCGGAAAAAATCAGCAATTTCTTTCGAGTCACTTAACCCTCCGACGCTGACTGGGAGTCCCGGCCTCGGCGTCAGCCTCTTTGTTTCTTTCCAAAACGAAACGAAATCTTTTTTATCATGACAAGTGGCTAGTTTTTCCATTTTTATTAAATCTTGATGGTTTTGACACCATTTTAGTCGTGATTTAAATATTTTTCTGCTTTCACACATGTCATTATAAACCCTCCCTGATTCTGGTTTCCCATGAAGTAACCAAATCCTAAACCTCAGCCTCGCTTCCGAGTGCGCCGGCTTCACATGTTTGTTCCAACCTATAATATTTTGATTTCTATCATTAATTTTATTTTTATTAGGGTATTTCCGACTAGTCACGGCTGCCTCACTAAGAGAAATAACAATATTGTTATATAATATATCAATTGCACCTTGATGATTAGGTCTATCACAATAACAACCTGCGCAATCCGTAAATACCTCTGGAAAATCTATTGATTTTAACCTCTTGTTACATTCACTTTGATATAACAATATTTCTTCCTCGGATCTTTGACCCCAACGTACGTTATTGTTTACAGAGTTACTTTGTATAGAGGACAACTTTTTACTAATAATCTTAATATTAAAATGAAGTATAAGCGGGTAATGATCTGACCACAACACATCATACATAATATACACTTTTGATATTGAATGGCGAGCCGCGTCTGTCACTAAACAATGATCGAGCCACCTCCGTGATCCGTGAGCCTCACTAACAAAAGTATAAGTGTCAGAGTGCGGTCCGAGCAACTCAACATCTATACATGACCACCTTTGATCATAACAATAATTTAAAAGTTCATAGTAAAATATCGAGTACGGATGCGCATTAAAATCCCCTAGTATGTAAACAGATTCTATGCCATACTCATCAACAATAGCACTCACCACACTTAGACAGTCCGTAAACACTGGCAAGTTGTCCTGCGAGTCCGTAGGCATGTACACACACACTACGATTATGGGTCGATCACTCGTTATTATTTTTATTGCACAAACTCGAGAATTATTACACGGTAACACTATCACATTATTGAACACACTCCTCCTCCACAGCAGGGCCACCCCTCCATAGGGCCTCCCCCGCAGCATTCCCTCTGATGTGTCCATCGCTGATGTTCCCGTGTACCCGAAGTCCGCCTCAATACTGCCAAGATATGAGATTTCGCTCGGTAGCAACCATGTTTCCTGAAGAGCTATGATGTCTGAGTGACGACATAAATCCCTGATACACTCTAAGGATCGTTTAATATTTTTACAATTAAATGTTGTCATTGCGTATACGCCTTATCCATTGTTTACATTTACAAGGCCGGAATTCATATTTGTTTCATTTTTAATATGGCGATTTTTATAATGTACAAAGCGCCTAAAAATAATTCCTTTAGGCCAGAGTTTATCATCTAAAAATAATGACAAATTGTCCTCAGGTATCATGAACTTGTACGCTAAATGGTTGTTATGTCTTTTAATTGATATTTTTTTTAGCGATATATTCACTTGAGTTTTCTTGAGAACATAATCTATGATATCCGATTCAACCGTATCTTTATGTACATTGCTTATAAAAATAGGTATAAACCTTTCCGCCGCCTTGAAATTAACACCGTCACTGGCTTGACCCGTCATTCCTGCAAAACGTTGTTTACATTTTGTTTTACGTCTCGTAACGGTTTGCCACGCACCATCCGTGGGCTCGATATTATCAACTGGAAAAACCGTCTCGATCAGTTGTCCAGAGCTCATTTGTTGAGTTACGCTTGTCTCCGCTGAAGCCTCCGCATTCACCGTCGCCCCTGTCGTCATGGTATGAGTCATAATACCGGTCTCGGCCGACATAATCGACGAATGCATGTTTTCGCGAACCACACTACCCTCACTGATGCTTCGATAAAGTGGGTCTTTATTGTTTGACTCACAATTGGAGTTAATTGAATTGTGCGAGTCATTTAATGACGAGTTAATGCTCTGCGATGGATCTCTAGGGCCACCATTTCTAGCCCATGCACCACGTCGATTGTTTATATTGTGACACGGCGTGGTAGCTATCGACGTGTGTTTCAATCTATTAACGTCTTGCTTTAAATCTTCTAAGTGGTTTAGAGTAGCATAGTTATTTTTAATAGTCTCGATCTCCGCTGACATTCTTGTTAAATCCTTCAATAATTTCGTGCAGTCAAGATGATCAAATGTAATAGGAGGTAGTTTTTCCAGTTGTCTCGCAGCAAATACTGGTAAGATCTCAGGTTCTGTAGATTTAAACAAGGAAATGATGTCATCCATATCTCGAGATTCTTTTCCCTTTTTTTTTCGCTGTATTTGTCGGCGATCTGCCGGAAGTGCACTAAACAAT